GCCTAATAGCTGTAGCAAGGGCTTCCACTACTTTTTTTTTTTCATCAGTACATGAATTTTCAAAAGGACTGATAACATTATAGGGCACAGAACAAGCCTCAAATAAAAAAAAAAACATCTTAACACACTGCGAATCTTCTCAGATTCTCATACTATTACGGAGTAAAACTGGAGACCACAAGTCAAAATGCCTCAGAATAAATTAAGGTAGGCATTAACAAAAAAATCAAAACTTATGGGACACAACTAATACAGTGTTAAGGAGAAAATTCATTACAGTCAATGATTATGTCAAGAAATTAGAAAAACACCAGGTAATTGAGCTAACCATATATCTACAGGAGCTAGAAAAACAATAGCAAAGCAAACTGCAGATTAGCAGGAAACAAAATATCATCAAAATAAGGGAGGAAATAAACCAAATAAAGACCAACGGAATATACAAGATCAATGAACCAAAGCACTAGTTCTTAGAGAAAATCATCAAAATGGACTCCCTACTTACCCAACCAATCAAAATAAGGAACAAAGGCGAAAAAGGAAATACATTAAACAGCACGGAAACAAGCGAAACAACGTATCAAGTACAGTTAAAAATTTCCAAAACACTCCCAATAGGTGATAGTAAAAAAACACAAGATTTTGCCACTTCACCACTCAGTCTGACAGTTCTTGGCTCGGTATCTACAGCCTTTACTATGTTGAGGCACATTTCTCCAACACTTAACTTTTCTAAGTTTTCATCATATATTTTATCAAATGTCTTTTCTGTATTCGGCAAGCTCACAGCTTTTTAAAATGTTATAAAAGATTTAATTACTTACTTACTTAATTGAAAGAAAGAGTTAGAGAGTAAGCGGGAAAGGCAAAGAAAGAGATCTTCTATCTGCTGTTGCAGTCGCCATATGTCTATAATGGCCCAGGATGAATCTGGAACTCATTTTTAATCTCATACACAGGTGCACAGGCTCAAGGATTTAAGCCACCTTCTGCTGCTCTTTCACATGATTTAGTAGGTAGCCGGATCAGAAGAAAGGTAAGTAGGATTGGAACTTGAGCCCGTAAGGGACGCTAGTATTGCAGGCATCAACTTAATTCTGTCCAGTACAACACTGGTCCTAGATTATAAGATGCGTAGTTCATTCTATTGATGTGGTGCATTATGTTTCTTGATTTGTGTGTTGGACTATCCTGGCATTTCTGGGGTGAATACAGCTTGTTTAGTGAATGATATTTTTAATGTTCTTTTAGGTTTAATTTGTTGATATTTTGTTGAGGAATTTTGCAAATCAGTTCATAAAATATACTGGCCAGTGGCTTTCTTATTTTGTTAAGTCTTGAGCTAAAGATGGTTGACTTAATAGGAGCTTGCAATAATTTTACCCTTTTCCATGTTTTTTTTTTAAATAAGCCAAGGCAGATTAGTAGTAATTGATTACATGTTAGGTGTTGAGAAGTGAACTCTTCTGTTTCATTTGAATGCAGAAACTGCAACTACTATCTCAATTATGTTTCTCATTATTCTTCTATTTAGGTATTAACACTTGCTCATCATTTGTTGTGTTGTCCAGGAATTTGTATATTTGTTAGTAGTGATGTAATCTGCTCACAATTCTCTCTAAAATTCCTTTACATCTATGTGATATCTATTATCATGTGTCCCATTTCTGATTCTGTGTATCTCAGTCATTTTTTACTTTGTCTAAAAATTGTTTACCTTTACACAAAAGTTTTCTTTTCTCATGACTGCATGGGCTACTTCAGCGAGAGCTGGGTAATTTGCACTTTCTTATTTGTGCAGCTAGTTAACATTTATTAAGTTTTCAATTATGGGTAGTAAACTTTCTCAGAAGCTGGAACTTTCTGGAATCCACAGTAATACACACTTATGAAATCTAAATTGTATAGTCATCTTAGGTTTATCATTTAGTCATTTAGTCGCCAATTTGGCATCTGCATCCTATGACAGATTTCTGGCTTAAGTGTAGGCTACTCTTTCCACCTAGCTTCCTGTTAATGTGCACCTGAGAGACAGCAAACAATGGCCACAGGCCCTCGGCTCCGTGTCACCCACATGGGTAACCCACACTGTGTACGGTTCGTAAAATCTGCCTATTATTTCGCCAACATCTCAAATTGAGTACTTGAATTATACAATTAGTTCACTGGCATCAATGTAGGGGAAGCATAATTAAGAATTTTCAAAGGAAATTTAGGAAAATTATAACATGTTTTATTGCATTATTAATGATGACAAATTTCAAAAAACAAAATATAAAAAAACAATTAGAACACTTCAGACTATGACACTTGCAATAAAATATGCCTAATTGTTTATATCTTGCAAATGTAAAATGCTAACATACTAAAAAGAAATAACAATATAAACAATAAATTCACAGGACTGTAAAAAATGTTTTCCAACTAACATCACTTAGTAATTCAAGAACTAAGAATGAATCTGTAAATACTAATTATAAAGTATTGATAAGTTGGCCTTACTGAATTCTGAACTGATTTTTCATGTATAAATAAGAGTGAAAAAAGCAAGCCACCTACTGGAAGGTATTTGCAATACATGTTTGAGAAAAGTTTGAAAGGCCATGTTATACAAACACATTTCTCTAAATCAATTTATTTATTTGAAAGGCAGCATAAAGGGAGAAATTATCTACCTGCTGGTTCATTCCCCAAATGGCTTAACAGTCAGGGATGGGCCAGGCCAAAGCCAGAAGAAGCTCCAGGTCTCCCACAAGTGTGGTAGTGGCCCAAGCATTTGGGCCATTTTTCACTGCTTATCCTAGACCACTAGCGGGGAGCTGGACTGGAAGCTAAGCACCAAGGATTCTAATCGGTGTCCACGCTCACAGGTGGCAGCTTTACCTGCTGTGCCACATTGCCAGCCCCAATACAAGGAACTTAACTAATCAATTTATCCAAACTGCGGCCATCTGGAGGGCGAACCATTGGAGTGATTTCTTTTTCTCTTCTCTTTCTCCTTCTGCCTCTCTCACTCTTTCTCCAAAACTATTAAACAAATAAATACTTGAAAAATTTAATCAAATTGACAAAAATTAAAACTTCATAGCAATATACTATAACACACATCAATGAATGAGTAAAAAATGTAAGACTGATAACACCAAACTTTGAGTGAGAATGAAGCATATTCAGCTGTAAATATTGGAGATTATTTTTAATATGAGCAGATATTGTTGCAAAAATTCTGTGATTTCTTACTCAAGTTGAGTATATTTCTACTTGGCAGTTATACTCTCGGTTAAATAAACACAAAAGGGTACACTGGTCCAATAAAATGTATTATGTATAGTGTAATAATATTTATACAAATTTCATTCAAAAAAGGCAAACACTACAACAATGTAAATGTTTAACAGCTGATCACAAAAATACATGCATATTCATACTATATATATGATGAAGTATTGAAACCTCATTACAGATAAAATGAAGGTGACTTCACATATATAAAAGAATGAATGAAATACCCCTTCTTCAGTAAGAGTGAGCATATACAAAACATTCGCACAATGCTTAAAACCAATGTAATATGTGGGGGTGATCATGAGAGTTCTGGGGTCCCTTTTACCAAGAATGGGTTTTGTTGAGTTTTCTTGAATTTCTGAAGTACATATATCTTTTGTCTGAGGTCTATTTATATGAAACACACACACACACATAAATTCATGTTTGGCTGCATGCCTAAGGTTTATGCACTTTACAAGATTACAATATTTACAATGTATATGTATACTGAAAAATAGATAACCATTTGAAATGTATCTTAATTCAACCATATTGTCATTAGTCAAGAATACCAGGATATTTCTCTAAATGTAAATAATGTGATTATACACAGCTAAAAACACAACCCAATGTTCTCACCTAGAAAAACTGGCCAAAAGAGAGTCCACATATTTAACATTTCAAGAAGTGATCTGCTATGTCCACAACGTAGCTAATATCTACATAACAATACCTAAAACATATACCTTTCAGAATTTACTGGCTTTGCTTCTCAGTTGAATAATTACCTTAAATTAAGTGTTAAATAAACCTTACAGTTAAGAGTAAATATTTCCAGCAAACACGGATTATTTTGTAAATGAATTACTTCTCCTACCACTGATCATATAGAAATTAAAATAAATGAAACTTACAAACATTTCTAGTCATGTAGTCTAAGCTGAAATTTATTATGGGAAAGAATTATCTGCAAATCTTTAAAAGATTAAAAAAATATAATCAGCTAGATCGGGGTTAGCACAAAAAAATCTATATGTGAACTAATGTGGATGTAATCTAATCAATGACGAGGGACTGAGTAACGATCCTGACACCGCAATACACGAGTTTTTCCTCTTTGGAAAGCTTAAATTAACACAGACCTTGCCTATTTCAAAATAGAAAGAACATCCAAAATATGCCCAAAGAATAAAGATGAAGTCTTCAGCACTCTACCACTAATAGTAACAAAAAATCAAATATTCAACATAGATACAATACAGATTAAGAAATCATGGAAGAACGGTTGTGACTCTTAAAAAAAATCAGAGCTAATGACTACTAATCCAAAACAACTAGTGGAAGATTAAACTTTGTTCAGCGTGTGTTAAAAATATGATTCTGCAGCAAATAATTAAAGTGCTGTTTGTAAGAAAAAGCAGTCTGCTCTCATTTAAAACACACCCAAGTATACTACTTACTTAAAGTTTTCCTGTATTTTTAATATGAATTGAGACTTTCTTCGAATGGTTCAATATTAGCTGTAAGAGGGATTTATGGAGATATCCATTTTCACACACACATGCATACTTTAAGTACATAATTCAGTATTGTTTAAATTAAAAATGAATATATATGTATGTATATGTATACTTATATACAAATATGCATGCACTTATTTTAAACAAAAACAGTGTCCTTTCTATGATAAAAATATTCATTAATGATTAGAAATAAATATTTTCGACACTTACCTGTATCTTAACCGGCCAGGAAAAGTTGCTGACATACACATAGAATGTGATGTTAGGATTGTTTCTAAAATTAAACTTCTCATAGGAAAAACTGTCCCGGTACTCCTTTATATTAGCCTTGGAAACAATCGGAGTCTCTTCCCCAGATATAGTTCCAGCTAAAATGTAAATAACAAAACTTATGCAATTGAAATTAGGGAAAACAAACGTTTATTAATTTTAAAAGATACATTAGAATCTAAAGCTGTGGTACAGCAAACTTGCCAAACCAGCATTGAACATCAGGGCCTGTTTGAATTCTACACACTCTACTAGGAACACAGCTGCGTAAAAACACCTTCAGCAAGCGACAGATCATTCTAGCATGCCTCCTATCTATGGGAGAGCCAAGGACAGAATTCCCAGTCCAGGATTCCACCTGGCATAGCCTTGAATGTTGCAACTACCTGAGGAATAAAAAGCAGATGCAAGCTCTCTCTCATTCTCACACTTCTTCAAATAAACAGTTTTTAAATATGCTATTTCTTTTTATTAATAAAACAACAGATTTCATGTAGTTAGAAGACAATGATACTTTTCCATCCCTTCTGCCTTCTTTCCTATTTCTTCAATTTTTTTGGTCTCCGGCATTAGAACTGGCACCTATATGGGATCCCAACACGTGCAAGGCAAGGACTTTAACCACCAGGCTACAACACCGGGTCCTATAATCACCTTTTCAATGTTCCCTTGAATAAAATGTCCAACAAGTAAAAAGATCATTGTTCCACAAAAATATAACCTCAAGGGCTTTACACATCAATCAAATCCCAAGATGTCAAGTTCCCTAATATAAATTTAAGGTTTTCTTATACTCTATATTAGGTGCACAAATCAGAGAAAAAAATTATCTTTTCTTAGAAAAAAGATTAAACTTCATTTTTGTAATTATTCTATTCTAATCAAAACATAATTTTGATACCAACAACAGAGAAACAAACAGCCCTGAGAGGAAATCAGCAAAGGAAATGAGATTGTACTTTTAAAAACAATAAACATACAAAAAATGCTCAGGCTCCCTAGCTGTCACATGAATACAATTAAAAACCATATGAGGTTCCACCTAACTCCAGTGAGATTAATATACACCTGGAAATCTACTAAAACCACCTGCTGGTGATCATATGAGGAGGAAAGTATCCTACTCCACTGTTGGTGGGAGTGCGGGCTGGTACAACCACTATGGAAGTCAGAAGAAAGAATTCTCAGACAACCGGAAACTGATCTACCATATGACCAAGCTCTCCCACCTCTAGGAATATATCCAAAGCAAATGAGCTGCATGTGAAAGTGATCTACAGCAGCACAATCTGCAATAGCAAAGAAGTGGAAATAATCCAGATGTGTATCAAAGAGGAGAGGATAAAGAAACTGTGAAACATCGACTCCATGGAATACTACTCAGTCATTAAAAAAGAATGAAACTGTATCATTTGCAACAAAATGATGCCAACTGAAGATCATTATGCCCAGTGAAACAGCCAATTCTAGAAAGGCAAATATTATGTTACCTCTGATTTAAGGCAACCTTAATGCAAAGGACAAAACCAATAGTTATATATAGGTAAACATGTATATGCCTTCTTCATCTGGAGGAACTATTTAATGGATACTAGCATACTGAGAAGTGAAGATACACTGCAGCATGCATCTTTACTTCCAAATAAATGGAACACTCCCAATGAAACTGTTAAACACTATGCTTACAATAGGATGCTGGATTTTCTACCGTTGTCTACATATAACGTCATGATGCATTTAAATAGCAAAAGCATAGACTTGTGACTGTTGCTGAAAGACTGTATACTACTGTAATACCATGTGGAACATTGGGATGGGGAGGGAAAAGAGAGAAGGTGGGAGTGGAAATCCCTGTGCCTATGGAACTGTATCATGAAACATAAAAATTTTTTAACTTAAAAAAACGAATTATAATAGACTCATGTTTATTATTTTGAATGACAAAACATAAATTTGACAAAATATACACTGCAAATGGATTTAATATAAAAATCTATTTAAATATTACCAATGAGAAATTGAAATGACTATCGACTGGCACATAGTTATTTTTTAATAATTTTATCCCATAGGCACTATCATTAGTTTATTAAAATGAAAACATATGATAGGAGAACTAAGCAACTGCCCAAGTTTACAGCCACTCCTGATAAGCTCTTTTGGAAACAGCCATGAATACATGGCTCCAGAAGGTTTCCTTACTTCTCCAGGGCTTTTCAAAACAAGTTAGTCAGAACATGTTCTCACATGTCTCAATTAATCACAAAAGAAAAATCAAATTTGTCTTACCACAAATTAAGTCTCCATCACTTAGAATAAACTGGGAGGAAATCGTAATTTAAAACCTGAGCTAAAGACTCAATTAGTTAAACGTACATTGGAAACTCAGTAAGTATTTGTTGAAGTTAATCAAGTGAAATAAGAATTCCCAACAATCTAATAAGACCTCTCTCTTAATGAGCAGTAAAAAATAATGAGAATTAGTATTCAGGGTAATTGAATTCTTCCAACTGAAATCCTATTCCAAAATTACCTTGCATGTTTTTTTATAAAACAGACATTATGAACAACTTTATACATAAAAATTTCTGATATTTGATCCTGGAATCTGAAACTTGAAGTGATTTCTTGCAAACTAAAATGACTGCCTTAAAGTAACTGGAGCTATTTTATAAATATTTATTAAATTTTTTATATGTAATGATTTTTTTCATTGCTTCTTGTTTTTTTCGCTAAGAGCAACTGTACTATCTGTTCTTGTCAGTTCAATGATTTTATTTTTATTAGTCATGATAAATTATATGATAATATGGCAATTTCTCATAAATTCTAATAGCTACAGTGCCTAGATTTTATAGTATGTTATCAACTACTGTAGAATCTTCCATTTCTCACGCATAAAAAGTTATAGATTTAAAAAACTTTCTCTACTTCTGAATTCACTATACCCACAATTCAACATATAAAAAAGAATAACATAGTTCTCATAAATCAAAATGGAATTCTAAGAATCCACAAATTTTTATACAAAAAGTAAACAACTTTTCATATATCAATGCAATAGAAAATCTTTGTTATTAGAAACTAGAAAGCATCAAAATGTACTAAGACATAAACATATAGGAACGAGAATACAATTTTAGATTTCAAATTATAGATCTAGAATTCTTATATTTTTGAAAGGAAATTACAATGTATGACTTTATATTAGACACATTTTATGTAGCTTCTTTAAACTCCTTAGCACTTAAACTTGGAAGTAGGTATGTATGTTTAAGTTTGAGAACAATAGACAAAATGTTACTCGCATTAGCATGCACAGCATAGTGTTGCTGTTTAATATAAAAAAGGACATAATTCAGTAAATAACTTGAAATCTCAGAATATTTAGCATTGAAAGAATGTGTCAATTAAAATCATGTTTAATAACACCGTCAGTTTTTAAAATTCAGCAATGTATAATCTACTATCCAATTTTAATACAATAAGAAAGAACTTTACAGCTAATGTTTAAAAATATTTATTTGCCTATTTGAGAGGCAGAGAGAGAGAGAGAGAGACAGAGAGGGCTTCCATCCGCTGTTTGTTCACTCCCTAGGTGTCCACAATTTCCAGGGCTGGGCAGACACTGAAATTACGAGCTAGGGACTCTTCCCAGGTTTCAGTTCAGAGACAGGAACCCAACTGTTCAAATCGTCACTACCAACAACCTGGGTCCCAGCAGCAGGAAGCTGGAGCCAGAAGCAAGAAGCAAGAATTGAACTCATGCAATCCATTGAGGGACATGGGCATCCTAATCAGTGTCTCAACTACTAGGCCAAACACCTACCCTCTATTCTTTGGTAACAGCGCAATCACAGCATGTAATTTTTTTAAATTTTTCATTTATTTAAATTGACAGGACAAGATTATATTAGAACAAGTTCCACACAGGAATAAATATGAAAGGCATGACATCAAAATCATTTTTACCTGTTGAACCAACTGACCACGTAATGTTGAGATTAAAGTTGTTTGATGCATTGATCGAAATATCCAAATTTTTGTTTGACTACCAAGAAAGAAAACACCAAGGTTAACAAATTCTAATTACACTTTATAAGCATAATTAACTTTACTGATTGAATGACGTCCATGATGCATTTCTCAAACTCTATACAAAATATAAATATTCAACTGAATAAGCAGATGCCATGTATACTTTTTATTGAAACTATATCATACATTCAAAGGTAGACTTAAGGTATGTCTTTTATGTTCCTACTAAACTTATGTCTTTGTATATAAATGAGAAGCTTCTAGAATTCAATACTCATATTTTGATTCTCTTCATACTTTCGCTTATATCTAAATGATTCAGGTTTTTATAAGCTCTAAGAAATTTATAGCAATTTAAGACTATTCTGTTGAAATATTTTATGCTAGTGACCTAATCTATTATTGCACTTTTTTTTTTTAGGAAAAAAGCATGGAAAACACACTTAAAATATATAAAATAAAACTTTCAGATAAAAATATAAATCCAGTCTGGAAAAATAGTAGAGCACACCATGTAAACAGCCATTGAGATGACAGCTGAATAATTTATTTTTATGTCAGAAAACATGCCCCTTATTATTTATTAGCAAATGATAGTCTTTACATTTAGTTTCAAGGAAAAGAAAATCTAAAAATTTTCTATATATGTTATTTGTGACCCTCTCACTCCAATAAGCAAAGATTTATTTAGTGCTCAGGAGGTAAAGAATAACAATCATAGTAAATACTTTTAGCTTCAGATATTTAGTTAGTTCTGCTTGCTTTTAAATAGATAATGATGTGCAGAAAATTCCACAATGCTATTTGATGCCTGGCAAGTCAAGACAGACAGAGAGAATAATTTCTAAGTATTCCTATTCTTTTCAAAATATGACAAAAATCAGTAAACAGAAAACACATGCAATTTTCTGACCAGCTTTTAACAAAAAGATAACTATCTAAAGCAATGAAGTTCCCCATTCCCCAAAATGCAGTATTAGGGAGTAACTGAGGAAAAGACGATTTCCTGCTGGTTAGAAAAGGAAAGAATTCATAAAAGACAGACTGCTTGGCGGCCATCTTGATTGGATAACATGTACAGTCTGGAACAAACTTACATGCTGAAATAACGGAAGCAAATATTACTTCAAAATGAATGGTAATTTAGAACATGCAGAAAATCAATCACACATTGCAACTGTGCGGGGTAGTGTGTTCAAGATGCTGCAGAAAGAGCACCTGACAAACTAAAGTAACCACAGGGGGGTAAAAAAAGCCTTCAGTTTAAATAAATACAGTCAAGTAAGAAGGAGTCTCTACCAGAGTTACACTCCTGAAGTGGCCATAAAGCTAACAATAAATCTATCGCTCAACTTCTATAATATGCACACAAAGTTTTCAAACTTCTTGAGACTCTCCTCTCTTTTAAGATATGAGTACAGAATTAACAGTTTGAACATAAGGCCACACAAGTAGTCGAGAAGTGTTTTTTTTTGCCAGTTATAGATGCATATAAATTTTTATATGCAGATATAATGATTTCATGTCCAGCAAATCAACTTTATGAAGCCAATAAAAACAAACAGTAAAGAATGTTCACCATTGAATCAGAAAACTTTAGATTCAAAATTTGCTCCTTGACAGTCATGCTGACTGACACTGTGAAAGTTACTCAGCCTTTCTGAAAATAGGCTTTCTTATCTCTACAATGAAACTGCAATGACCTCCCCAATTTCTTATAAGAATGAATGAATTTCTTAAAAAAAATATTTTATCTTGTTTCAGGTCATTGTCTTACTGATAATTCTGTCCAGGAATTGCTAAAGCATACAGTACTATGACTATATTAAGATTTTTGATGTTTCAAAATTAATAAAACTGTTTATCCAAATCAATGATAAAAATCAGTCATTTAGAACACTTGATTGGATATGAATAATTTCAACAAGAACATGTTGCATACAAACTCAACCAAGAAATGTTTCACTGGAAATCACAGGGTAAAAGTAATCAATTGTTTTGGAACTAAGCTTGTTGTCAAAAATATAGAAAACACATAAAAAATTAAGATGCTCAGTTTTGTTATTAATATGCTCAATAATCCATATGAATTTCAGAGGCTATTTCCAGGTGCATATTTAATTAATGGGGCTTACACAATGTTATAAATACTTTTAAATAGACTTCTCAAACAGTTTGGGCATCTTTAAGTGCTTTCATGAATTGATGTGCTGATATTAATATTCACAGTTAATCTTCAAAAGTTTTAAACTTTAGAAGTTTATAAAATACCACTGATATAATGAAGAAGTCTGCATATATGTAATTCAAATAAGGCAGTATATTTAGAATACAGACAATGAAAACTGACCACCATGGAATAGTATAAAGCAAAAAAAATATGGGAAACATGCCATGTTTGGAATGCATAGGGTTCATATTTAAATAACAGAGAATATGTAATTAATGAAGAGCATGAATGTAATAGTAGCTTACAAGACCTAACTGTTAACGAAAAAAGGGAAACATCAAATTAAACAAATTCTTTGGAATAAAAGGATCTGCACTTATGAAAAAAAATGCACAAGATGAATCTTTTCTACAAAAGCCAAATTGTGTGACGATTCTTCGGTAAAGTCAAAATGACAAGTGACTAAAGTGAAACTCATATGACAATATGAGAAAAGTCAGCGATCCTTCTCACCTGCTCTGGGTTTGCTATGAAGTTGATGGCAGTGTGGTGGCGATCATCTTCCTGCAATAAGCTGAAGGTAAACTGATAGTCAATCAGAAGGCTGTCTGTGGGGGGTAGGAAAAATGCAAAATCCAGATACACATTTTAAAAACTGTGTGAAAACACTTTATGTGAAAATATGTATTTCATACCAGTAGTTGAAAATCATTATCACTGCATATTAGTTGCCCTTGAAAGGCTGATTAAAAAATATATTTATCATCAAAAGCAACAAAAAGTCAAATACAACCTAGAAGAAATCCTTAAACACTGTATTATTTTTGTTGTTAGTATAAAAGTATGGCAGAAGCACCATTCTTCAAACTAAGCAAAAGTCACAGTATAAAATTCATCCGTAATTTTACAAATGGAACTATCTAACATTTGGTGCATTTTTTTCAATTAAAATTTCATAGGAAGAGACATTTTTCTATAAAAATAAAAGCAGAATCACTGAAAATGAACTTTAATGATAAAAAAACAGTTACTATAAGTCCTTGTAAGTTTATGCATTATATATATATTTTTTTTTAATTAATTACATTGCATTATGTGACACAGTGTTATGGGCACTGGGATTCCCCCCACCCCTCCCCGAACCCTCTCCCCATGGTGGATTTCTCCACCTTGCTGCATTACCACAGTTCAAATTCAGTTGAGGCTCTTTCATTGAAAGTATTTACCAAGCATAAAGTCCAGCATCTTATTATCCTAGTGGGTTCAACGATTTCTTGGTGAGACCATCTCTGGTCTGAAGGTAAAGCCAGCAAAGTATCATCCCAATCAATTAAAAGCCCCAACATAACATCAACAGCCATTTACAACCTTATTATATATTATGGACAGAGACCTCCTAACACCCGGTAAATTCCTCTAAGTTCCCACCCTAGCTGGGACTTGACCATTCAGAAGCCAGGAACACAAAAGGAAAACAGCACCCCCTGCTGGGGGGGGCGGGAACCCAGCCATTCCAGCCACTACTTATCCTCCCAAGCTGTGCACTAGCAGCAAGCTGGGATTTAGACCAGGGCCATGACATGAACCCAGACACGTCCAGTACAAGATGTAGGCATCTCAAAAAAACAATATAAATAATATGCCAAACACCATAATATCTATTCCGTATTTCTCAGACTTTTGAATATCATTTAATTTGTACATGTGATGAATACTATGCAAACAATTATTTTTCCAATTTTCATCTGTCAGAAATGCAGAGGAAAACTCAAGAAACCCATGTTATCCTAGACACTGAAGATACAGCCACGAAAGATAAAAATGTCCTACTGTAACTTATATTCTGTTGCATTGATATTATAAGTTAATAAAATAGCATTTTTGGATGGCTTCAGCTTTTGGAGAATAATAAACTATTTAAGGTAGGAGTAAATTTATAATTTTGAGAAGGAATTCTTAAACAACAAAGACCGTATGAGAATAAACTATGATGTTCACCATAAAAATGTATTTCAGGCAGAAAAAAAAAAGTATAAAACTTTAAAGCAAGAAAAACTTCCACTGTGATTCTTAGAGTCTTTCTCACTAAAGCAGACGAGAGAGAACAGTGGAGAAGCATTCCAAGACACAGGGATGCGTGTGGAAGTCACCGCAAAAAGAATATCCGCATATCCAAATTCGGGAGCACATTTATCAGACAACAGTACATAATTCATGGCTATTTAAGTGTAATTTATACACTGGAGGGCAATAAGTCACACTGTAGATAAGTAAGAGGCCCAAGGGATGAGTTCTAAGAAACACCAATGTTCAATGATGAAGTGCTAAGCAGAAATCAGCAAATGAGATGACTTAGGGAGGACCAGGAGACAAAGGCATCCAGAACGTAGTGCTCTGGTTAGCAGATAAGTAAGGTGTTCGGAAAAGACAGTAATAACACTGGCCAATAGGTCATAAGAGTTAAGATAGGGCTTCAACTTGGGGGAAGATACTGTGTATTCAGAATCTTTTGAAAAGTAATGCTTAGGAAAAGGAAGCACTTCAAAACTATTCTGACAAACTAGCAAAACTGCATTTATTGTTTCAAGGTTGGAACTAATCACTAAGGAGAAAGAACCGTACGATTCTTGCAGGATACGGCCGAGAGACGGGACGTCTGAACAACTCAGGACAGAGGCCCAGGCAATTTCCGCCACTGTGCTGCGGGCTGCAGCCTCTGCCACAAACACGCCCACCAAATCATTAGACAGCCATTCAAGCCTAACTTATATCTTATTTATTCTTACTATCATTGAAAGAAACTGATCAGTACAATATTTGCTAATGATCAATACCAATATCAGTTGGGCTTAAAAATGATAATAAGCCAAAATTCTTAAACAAAGTTAGTAGGTATATTATTCAGTGCGTACTTTGTAGTCTTTAGCGAATGGTTAACATTATGATTATGAAAAATACTGGAAGTACATCACTGTGAAAATTAAAAAGAAGGAAAGCAGGAGGAGTGAGGGAGGGAGAATGGTACAATAGGGTGGTAAATGTGATGCTCTTAAAACAGAATATATGACTATATTATTGTAACACTACAGAGCAATACAGTGCGGGAGCAATACAGTGCGGGAGAAGGGCAGAGAATCACTATACCTGCCAAACTGTATCATGGGAAAAAAACAGGAATAATAAAAACTGTATATATGAAAATACACGAAATTTGATCCCTCTAATATAAAATTTTTTTGAGTTAAAAAAATAAATGACCAATAAAAGCAATATTTGGTCAGTGTGAACTGTGACCAATAAGTGTAGATGTACATTAAATGTTCTATTTAATGCATCTTAGAGGGGCAGGCACTGGTGCAGGGCTAACACACCACTCTGCATGACCGCGTCCCATGTGAAAGTGTCCAGATTCTAGTTCAGGCTGTACTTTTAACTCATTTCCTACTAATGTGTACCCCGGATGGCAGAAGGTAATAGTTCAAGTAATGGGGTCTCTGTAACCTGTGTAAGGAGACTCAGCTGGAATTTCAGACTCTCAGTTTCAACCTAGCCCAGCCCTGGCAGCTGCAGACATTTAGAGAATAAATTGGCAGATGGAAGACACTGGGCACATGTACACACACATGCTGATTCCTTCTCTCAACTTTCAAAAAACAAAATAAACAAAATTGTTAGACTGCTTAGAGTGAAGCCTTCCAGAAGGCAACTGCACAGTTTTCTACTTAACAAGGGGTTACAACTGAATGATTACCTGGCACTTTAATATGAAACATGCTCTGAACTTAATTAAGGAAAGAACATGAGATGCTAACATTTAGAGGACTTAAGTTTATGCAAATGTATGTAATCTGAAAATAAGTCACATTTGGATTTATCTATTTACTTATTCAAGGGGCAGAGATACAGAGAGAAGAGTAGGAAACACAGCAGGAGAGCTCCTTACTGGGGTTCCTTCCCAGTGCCCAGAGGAGCAGGGGCTAAAGCTGGGAGCCAGAACTAAATCCATGTTTCCCCATTACATGGCAGCAACCAAAAGCCCTGAGCCACCTCTGCCACTTTCCAGCTTCTATATTAGCAAAAACATGAAGCCAAAAGCTGGGCACTGAACCTGGATCCTGCATTAAGTTATTCATGTTTCTTAATTGCAGGCACTAACTCCCAACCCCCCAAAATACTTTTTATGCAATATCAATACATTTCCCCATGACTGTGTCAACAAATCATGACTGATAATAAAAACATTTAAATAATTTATTGTATTATTGAAAAATACAGAGAAAGGACCAGGGGCTCATTTTTTAAGTTGGAGAAATGTCATATTTTGCCAATATGAGAAACAGAAGTGCTCCTCTCCCAGAACCACCTGCTACAATCCCCTAAGCCTAAGCCCAGTTTGTGGTCCATCATATTCTATACCAGGAAATGTCACCCGTGACTCTGACTCTGGCAGTCTTTCCCCATGCCTCTCTTCCTGAATCTGCTATCTTCCCTCAATACATAATTCCCAGTTACAATAAGAGCATGTACACCATACTATCCAGCATATTTTAAATTTTCATAATTTACACAATCTAAACAGAATTTGCATGCTAAAATATTAAGACTATGGGTGAGTCATTAGCATAATATGTGGCATACACACACTAGGAAATACTATTTTGCCATTCAAAAGAAGGAAATCCTATGTTTCACAACAAAATGAAAGTAACTGGAAACCATTACTCACAAGCTACTTCAAATAAAAAATCATGTCTTCCCTGATTTGTCATAACTAATACGTTAAATAGAAAAATATAACCTATATGAGTGAGTGTGAAACCTGGAGATTTGATTATTCCTTTTTTTTAAAGATTTATTTTAGTTGAAAGTCAGATATACAGAGAGGAGGAGAGACAGGAAGATCCTCTGTCCATTGATTCACTCCCCATATGACCCCAACGGCCAGAGCTGTGCTGAGCTGAAGCCAGAAGCCTTGTCCAAGTCTCCCATATGGGTGCAGGGCCCCAAGGCTTTGGGCCATCTTCAATTGCTTTCTCAGGCCACCAGCAGGAGCTGGATGGGAAGGGGGCTGCCAGGATTAGAACCAGTGCCCATATGGGATCCCGGCACATGCAAGGTGAGGACGTTAGCCACTAGGCCACCACGCCAGGCCCTTGATTATTCTTTATAGCCTTTGCCCATACTTCTGATGAACAGTAAGGGTTTTGTTGTTTTGTTTTATTTTTATCAACTTGGTATTTGTTGAGTTCTTACCAATTGAGCCTTAAGCCTGTGATTGAGAAGTGAACTGAAAATATGCTATTGTGAAAATTTACAAAAAAAAAAAAATTAAAGGAGCAGTGTAGGTGGGGAACTTGAGCAGCATGGAGGCAGGGAGGGTACGGTAGAACTGTCATTGTGCTCCTAAAGGTTTGCTGTGAAATTCACTGGCTTTATATAAATAAGCAAAAATATACTTTTAAAAAGATACTACTCGGGATGCCCACATCCTGTTTTGAAGTGATGTGTTCCGGTCTCAGCACTCCTCCTGGCTCCATGTCCTGGCAATGAGCTCTATGGAAGGCTCAAGGAGCCCTAAAGGCTCCCTCTGTCACTCTGGTCCAGTCCT